AAAATTTCCCTCTGCCTGTCTAAGTTCCTGTTTCCTTCAGATTGCTGTGGGATTTGTGTTAAATGCATTTCCCCAAAGTCTGCTGATCCTTAGCTGTCAGTGTATTTAAGAGAGGGTCAATACAAGAAATCTGTTGGGGCTCTGAGCTCATGTGTGAGACTTGTCTTCCGTGAGCTTCCCTCTAAAGCCTTCTGCCCTGTGCTGTCTCAGTCTTTCCTGTTGGGTAGACCACCTTCCCCAGGATCTTCCAGATTCGTATGGGGTGGGGGCACCTTTTCTTTGGAAACAGTTTGAGCAGTATTTCTGAGTATGAGCCTCATGGTCTCCCTTATGCTGTCTGTGTGTCTATGAACCCATCACTCTAGCTGGGGACAGACCGAGGCCACCTCCCCAGCCTTGGGGGAAATGGGATTTAACCCCATCCAGACCTCACAAGCTGGGATGGAGAAGGGAGTGGATCTCCAAAGGAAACCCATTTATCACTAGTCAAGATGAAGGGGATATTAATTCTGTGCAAAACCAAGAGATATTTGCTTTGAATTCGTGAGACCGAAACACAAAGCAAGGCTTCATCTTTGTTGTTCCTATTCGAGAAGCTTGCATTGTATTGGTGAAAATAAAACAGTAGCAATACTTCACATTCATTGCAACCAAACAGGATTGCACATGGGATCTGAAAGGTGTCCTACATCCCACATCCTCAGGCTCGTCCCCTTGTTCCTGATGTTCCTTCCCTCGGATGGCGTCTCACCTTGTCCACTTTATGTTCTTTCTTCAAGTCCCACCAGCCAAGAAGCCTCACCTGTAGTTGTTCTCTCTCTTAGGCCATTGGATCTAATTGTTTCATCAATTTGCAATGAGTTTGTGGAGTCAGTTCCGATCCATAGCGATGCTGTATGGTGTTTCCAAGGAGTGGCTGCTGAGCTTGAACTGCTGACTTTGCGGTTCAAATCAACCTTGCAGTCCAGTGCATTAGCCCACAGCACCACACCAGGACTCCTTGTAGTGAATAATGAATAATAATAACAAAATAGCTGCTGTTGAGCTGAGTCCACATGTGTCAGAACAGAACTGTGCTCTGTAGGGTTTCCAATGGCTGGTTTTTGGAACTAGATTGCCAGGTCTTTCTTCCAAGGCACCTCTGGGTGGACTCAAACCTTCAACCTTCCAGCGAGCAGGCAAACACGCTCGCCATTTGCACCACCCTGGGACCCCATGTGGTATATGACTGCACTCGCGGTGGCTCCATAAGATAAGCACTGAACTGTGAATCCCTAGGTCGGTGGTTTGAATCCATCAGCCACCCTGAGAGAGAAAGCAGAAGATTTCTGCTTCTGCATAGGTTTACATCCTCCTAAGCCCTATACGGTCAGCATTTCTCAAGCTGGGGGAACTGAAGAAAAAATTCAAGCC